CGGCACAGTGGACGAACCAGTAGCGGCCGCAACAACCCGCCGTGCCAATTTACGCTACTGCGTTGCTGAGTGACATGGGCCAGTCGGCGGCCTCCCGTTGTTAACGACACCCGGATCGCGCGGCAACGGTGATGAATGAGGTGCCAAGCCTTGCCGGGTGTCTGGTGCGCACCGACTTTCCTGTCCAGGAGGGTCCTTCCTCGGCACGTCTGCGGTCGAGGCCTCCTGCTGGGGCGGCCCCGGGATACGGGCCCAGCAATCCCTGGCGTAGTGGCCTTTGCGACCGCAGCAGAAGCACTCGACGTCATTACGACGCACAGCACTCCCCCCATGTCGACGCTCCCACGTCGGCAGCGCAGATCATAGCCCCGGCCCTTCGCGGGCAGGCCACTGCGCAGAGGCGGCCGTCCATTCCTGCGGGCCCCCCCCCCTGTTCAGAACGTACACCGCCTTCTTGGGGTCCCAACCCACGGCACCCCCTTCCACGATGGGCCCCCCCGTCCACGCTGTCACCTGCTTCCAACGGCGCAGATTAAACTGGGCATCCAAACACTTAGCAGCAGCCCTAGACGTCAACTTCTCATGGCCGCACACCGGCATAGGGATCCCCAAATCCCGCGACAGCTCAAGCATTTTTCCCAAAATAAGGGGTTCCAATAGGTCAGGCTCCGTCTCAGGGTATGCGGCCATGGCCAATTCCAGGACAGCACCCCTGTATACCACCAGCGACTCTTCGGGTGCCCGCTGGCGCTGAATGAATCGTCGGTGAGCGTCATCCGGTGGCTCGTACGCATCCGCCATCTCGTCAAAAACCCCTCTCAGTGTCTTCTTCTTCTCGGCCTTGATGGAACGGAAAAATCTGACCGACTCATCGTCGAGAAGAGTTGGCAGAACTTCCAGGGCCTCTGCGTCAGTCCATCTGGCGGAGCGCACTGCCGCCAAAAACCGGCAGGCGAATGCACTGCAGTCGCCTCCAATTGAAAAATTCTTTAACTGTCGTCAAGTGACGGCTGCGGGTCCTCGCTCCGCTGTCCTCCGCAGATGGCGTGTCCCGTGGCATGTTCAAGATGGCGTCGCACTGCAACGTGTCAAAGATGGCGGCTTCCCGCCGCGGAGGGCGCAAGATGGCGGCTTCCCGCGGTTCTTCTCCCGCCACGCCCAAGATGGCGTCCTCGTGCCGCGTGGCGGAGGGAACCCGTCGCCGGCGTGACGAGGTCGCACAGTTGCGCCAAGACAGTCTTCAAAGTCTCCAGCTGGGCTGCCATCTGTTTCCATCGCTGGTCCGCGTCCCCTGGCGTGGGCGGATTCACCGAATCGGCGACCTCTTGCACCCCCGGGCCGCCACTCGTTCCCGCGTCGATTTCTCCCTCCATTGTAGGCAGCGCCACAGCCTGAGGAAGGTCGTCGTCGTCGGAAGATGTAGCAGACGATGGTGCGGGGATATTCTGTCTTCTGAGCTGTTTTGACATGCCGTTTCACTTCTGACACCAGTGTAATAAAGGACTCTTGCACTGGGTCTGTCTCCGTTGTCCTTAATTGTGGTTCGTACAACCTTGCCCGCACGGCGTCTCGCTCAGTCTCCTCCGTCTCCCGCTCGGCAGCCCCACTGCTGCCATCGCCCCTGCAGACTTGCTGCTGGCTCACTATGCAGCCCCGCTGCTGGCTCTTCACTCAGCCTCTCTGCCTCCGACCTGCAGCCCCACGGCTGCTCTCTATGCAGTCCCGCTGCTGGCTCTCCGTCTTCTCCGTGCCCGGACACCGCTGGCCAACGGTGCCGAGTCCCGACCTGTGGCGATCACGCCACTTTCTACCTCCTGCCCTGCGTGGCTTCCTCCTATCTTTATTCCCACACTCTCCTCCAGCCCTTCCGGTTCCTCCCCTTAAAAGCTCTCCCTCTCCCCACGTGACCCTAACTCCTCCCACCTGTTACGTCACATCCGCGAGACCGTTTACGCTCGCATTACATATTATTATCATTATCAGAGTTGCTTCTTTTTGTTTGCTTTTTTGACTACTTGTGTTGTGGTTATTGCAAACACGATGCCTTGAATAAAGGTGTCAGTTTTGTACCAGTTTAAAAGGGTAAAAACCTTCTACTATATTTTGCCACTGGTAAAAGACATCTCATAGTGTAAATGGTTACCCCGAGCTCTCAATACTCTGATATTGCGCTGTTTGAGTTGTACGCCTTCTGGTGTCATCTGGTCCAACACCAATGGGGACTAGGCTCTAAAGAAAGCCGTCTCGGGTGTGGACCAATCAACTTCAAGGACAGTGCATATTATTAACATTATCAGAGTTGCTTCTTTTTGTTTGCTTTTTTGACTACTTGTGTTGTGGTTATTGCAAACATGATGCCTTGAATAAAGGTGTCAGTTTTGTACCAGTTTAAAAGGGTAAAAACCTACTACTTTAAGCTGTGTCTGTGGCAGTAGTTACATTGGGGAAACTAAGCGACATGTCTTGGACTGTGTTCGTGAACATAAGGCAGATTTTAAACACGGTAGGACCAACACGTCGTCCGTGGCTGATCATTGTTTTAATGCGGTTGGCTCACACTAAATTGATTTCTCTAAGACGAAGGTACTTTGCAAGCCCACTGGCTATCAACAAAGATTAATTCATGAAGTCATCCACATATACAGACACAGACAATTTCAACCGAGAGGATGGGTACAAACTCAGCAATCATTGGAAGGACGTCGTCAACCAGTTTAAGTCATAACTGGCTGTGATTTTCTCATCCTGCCACCTTCCAATGTTAGTTTTTATTTTCCCCGTGGCTTCGGCTCTCCGATTTTACATTAACAGGTTATAAAAGAAATTCTCACACCAACACAGCCACCTCCGCGCGCCGACCTCGACGTGGCGGAGGCTCTGCGATCTTACATTAACATGCTAATTTCTCATATGAACATCACTAGCCCTGCCCACGTCGTTTATGACCTTTGGTCTACACCCATTTTAAACCTTTAAAACAGTCTGCCTCAGCAGCTTCCCCCTCTTTCTTCTTCCTGATGACAATCGCTTGTGTTGTGATCAGAACGTCGCATTTTTTATTTAATTTGTATTAATTTCAACCTATCTATGTGTCTACCGAAATACCCAAAGAATATTATACATAGAGTTTTGCTGATCTGTCCCTAACACCTGACACTACTGTGTGTAACGCTGGCTAGGTTACGTGGATTTTCATGCAATAAAATAGTTTTTCATGAAAGGTTTATTAAAATTGTAACTAATTATTAGTTGGTCACAAGAATAATACATTTTCTCCAAGAATATACCAGCGCTGCATTTGAAAAAAGCCAAGTGCGCCGCTTTTTTGTATTTTATCATTTTATCTATTAGTTTTGCACACCATTGCAGAGTAATAAATTATCTATTCAGTTAATTTGTGTGACAATATTTAATATTTTTTGGACATAGAACAAAAATTGAAATAAAGAAGCAGAATCACTTTTAATTTGAACTCGGTGCAGTTTCACTTTGATGACTTTTGCTCTCACAGTGCAAATTTGTGAAAGTGAGTGAATACCGACCTGTCCTTCCAGGTTATAAACAGTGCATTTTTTGTATTCACATCAATGCAGAAATGTAATTGATTAAGTCAATTCAACACAATCTTAAATTTGTTATCTTTTTCATTCAATATAAATTATATAAACACATCATAAACACTAGTACATAAGGTTTAGAAAAATGGAAAATCCTGACTTTCAAATTTCATGTTTAATAGTTTTACCCGGGGGAAACTCAAGAGACCAGGATAGTAATATTTGCAGGTAACCTGGGTCACTGTTGCTCTGGTTGTGACATGGAAATTCAAATTACGAATATTTTTTATTCCCATGTAATAATAGGTACAGATACTCGCACAGATACTCCGCCTTTTACACAACGAAATTTCGGAGCATGCAAAAATTGCTGTTTTTATGCCCATTATTTTTTAATTTCCATGTTTAATCACTAGGTGGCAGCAGAAATGTGTGTGATCCGTAAACAAAGAACATCTACGTCAAGTGAAAATCTGGACTGGCCACAGGAAGGCGTCGCTGGGTCCCAAATACTGTATACTGTAATTGGAAAATAAAAATATAGCACTTAGGACCAAGGTCATGCCTCATTTATTCCACAAATGTATATCATAAATCAAACTGGGCCACCCCCACTTTCACCCATACCATGAATGCCAAAACAGTAGCTGGCTGCAGGGTGATGCAGTTGAAAAATAAATGGCGGTGAGGGGGTTAACATGGACTACAGCACTGAGAATGACGTTTGATATGGCTTTGCAATGCACAACTCTATAAATGTTCGAGATTTGTTGCACATGCAACATGCTTTAGCTGTGTAGGGTCACGTGGCCGCTGACTGCTACATGAAACTGTGCTCGATCGTTTTTAATGCATATGACTGCTTATACATATTTCGTAGGAAAACTGGATTCATTTCACGGCTCACTTATATGAAATTGCATTTCAAAGCAGAGACAACAAAGTTATGTTGTTTTGTGATGCTGAAGTCATACCTGTCAACCCCTTATTAGTGCCTACCTTATTCCAGACCAATTCAGACCTTATTGGTCACCCCCATCCCCTTATACATTTCAACATTCATCCTATAAAGTCCCATCACAAGGGAGAAACACAAAAACATTTCTGAAAAATTGTTTATTTTTACTCAATTTCCCTGTACAAGAATACGGGTAAACTGTATGGGTTGACAGGTATGCTGAATTGGCAGTGGTGCACAATTAACAAAAAGGCTCAGCACATTTGTCAATAACGTTGCCTGAAAAGGATGCATTAATGGTAACATTTTGGGCAATGGTCCCAAATCACAGCACATTGAGGGGTCACTGAATCTCTGATATATTTTCCATTTAAGGTAGTATTATGGTTTAACATCATAGAGTGTTTTGCAGGATTGAAGAATGCAACTCGATTATGTGCAGGAAATGTACACTGTTATTTATATTGGCTTCATTTGTTATTCAGGAAAGGAGCCAAGAGTACACAATCACCAGTACACGCCTGGCAAGAAAAACCATGGTGTGTTCGAGCATTATTTGTCAGATAGTGAGGTCTCAGCTGGGCTGAAGCGCAAGGAGTTGATTCAGGTACCTTTTAATTGTTGTATCATAAATTTCTACAACCGTGCTCATAGTGAACCTTCAAATATACTTTTTACTTTATTTGTGAAGTCCATTACAGTAGCTTTGTCTTGGGTTTTGGTTACTAATGTAAGGGAATTATATATATATATATAATTATTTATTTGCTACCTGTACTTCATGACTAGCAGGGCATGGGCAGCCCACGTTTCCAGGTTCTATCTGTGTAGTTGTTTATACTTGCGACCTTGTGTGTCTGTTTTGTAGGGACCTTTGCGAATAAATCCCAGAAAATACCAAGAGGCATTTGTTCCTTCACTGGTAAGGTTGTGTTTATTTAAAGTCTGCTGAAATGGTATTGCATTGTTATAATGCCTGTAAAAGGCATCTGGGTTAATATTGTTCCTTTTGTTTACAATTTATCATGGTTAATCTAACCATGTTTGATTAGATTTATAATAATTTTAGTAAGTTGAAATATTACACATAATAATTTTTGTATTATGCAAATGAATACATTACCTTCTTATGTAGCTGAAGTATCAATATAGATCATATTAGTTTGTGTAAACATGCAAATGATATCCAAAGATATTTTGTGAAAATTGTTTACATTGATATATATTCCAACTCGTAATACTTTTTTAGCTTTGATCAAAGCGGAATCAGTTAAACTAAACCCACTTATGCCTTGGGAGGTTGAAGCCAGGAACTTAAATAGACCCGATCTTTGTTAGGCGCATCCACGTGTCTCTATTCCTCACCCAGGAAGCGCTGACTTCCCACATCCTCTAGTCTAGGGGCTGTGGTAACACCCACGCAGAGCATTGGGACTTCACATGCACAGGCCGATGTTTGAAGATGTCAGCGTGGAGCTCATCTAGCATCTTACTTGGCTTGGCCGCAGATGTTCGGTGGGTGGGATATGGTTTAAAACTGGCAGCCACGTTAGTGGGGTTATCCCCATTACTCCGGAGATGGTTCTCACTGTGACGTTCAGCTGATCAAGTTCATACAGGTGCACAATATGTTTCCACAGCGTGGCACAAGGGAAGGCACGCCATACATAGTGTCGCAATGCCAGCGCCCCACGAGCCAGCCAGCTGAGCCAGTAGACAATTCAATCAGCGCAACCTACTGGTTGTCTTCTCAAGGTGTTGACACTATGTCAGACCCCAGTTGGGCATCACTCCAAGGAAGGATGGGCTCTGGGTTGTGCTTGAGCAGCTGACCATTCAGACTGTACTTTGAGCTCAAAGGTGGCTGGTGTTATAGAGGTCACATATACTGCAAACCATCTTCTGCTTGACCTGAAGTCATCATTTTGTAGTGTCGTGAATACAGCCACAGTGCTGGAGGAGCGCCGGGTGCCTCGATTGGAGGAGTCAAGGGCAAGTGACCTGAAGCGGTGTCTCGATTGGAGGAGTTAAGGACACGTAGCCGGAAGTCAGGGCGCCGTCCTTGATACAGCAAGGGGTGGGGCCGGGGCCAAGGGATAAATGGGGAGCGTGTTCGGGGATTCGGGGCTCGTTTATGGGGATAAACTCAAGGGGCCGTCGGTCTTTGCTCCTCGTTCGCTGTAGAGTCTTCGCTGGGGATCGTGGGTCAGGCAGCGTATGTGCTAGCTGGCCCATTCGTTCAGCTAACTCGCACACAGATGGCGAACAGTCTAGGAACAGTCTAGCCACACTTTATTGTAGAACTCGGTGATTAGTGAGGTTGTATATTAACCGCGTTGCCTTAACAATAGTGTGTGCGCCTCTGTAATAACACACTACAATTTTTTTCAGTCAGCTACCATGGCCAGGTCACTGTTCAATGTAACTTCAAGGCTGCCAAAGTCTAAAGCTTGGTGTTGCGACGATGTTATCTGCATACACAAATCGTCATGACATTGTAATTGGTAGGTCGTTGATGTAAATATTGAATTGTGTTGGGGCAAGAACGGACTCCTGAGATCGTCCATTCTTTTGCATCTCCAAGTAGCTTAACATGTTCTTCATGTGCACTTGGAAGCAGCAACATTTGAGAAGCTCGGTGATGTACCCTTCTGAGCATGGCAGGACTTGTGGCAGCTTTTACAGCAGTTTGTAGTGCCAAACTGTATTACATGCTTCTGTGTGGTCCAGGAACACTACACCTGTTTTGGAATGTCAGAGGAAACCATGGTCAATAAATGTTAGTGCCAAGTGCTCAAGATGTTATTGACAGTAGGTGAGATACCTTTCAGCACCGATCACTCCAGAAGCTTAAGAAACACACTCAAGAAGAAGATGGGCCCATAACTATCGAGGACATTCATGTCCCCTCCCTGACTTCAAGAGTGCAATGGCGCTTGGCCCTTCTCCAGAATTTGGGGAAATAATTCGGATATGCAGTCGAACATGGGACAATACTGTGTGTGCTCTATGCGCTACTCGGCAGGCTGCGTTGTCGTGCGGTTTCGCTCTGCGCGTAATTTTTTTTTGGCAACTCATCTACTGCCGCATAAAGCGAAGGAAACCTGTAGCTGGAAACGCCCTGCCTCATCATCTGAAATATGGGTCTTCCTGCAGACTATTTATTTTAGTATTGTGTACAATGGCTGATTAAAAAAATCAAGAAATATTTATTTGCCAATAGTCCTGGGACAGTGAGCTGAAGAATACGGAGTGCTATCCGCACAGCCCAGGAACCTGTGCCTGGGCGAGAAGTGTAACTGTAGTCACGTGTCAGCTGGCATCACAAAGATTTGCCTGCTGACTGCAGCTTTGTTTCACTGGATGTGGCTGGGTACTCGCGGGGGACACGGCGAGAACGTTCCCGCATTAGCCCCCAAAATGTTGTTTGTGGAAGTTATTTGTATACTGCATCAGGAGACCGAGTTGCAAAGTGAAATTTTACCGATATTGTTTTTAGGATGGAACCGGTGACATCTTTGTGGATGGGATGGAGAACAGGAACCGAGCTCTGAATGGTGACGTGGTGGTGGTTCAGGTTTACCCAAGAGAACAATGGAAGGTACTCGCTTAATCTCTTCAATACTGCTTCTGGAGTACTCTTATTAAAACATACAGTATGTTTTTGAGACCAATGCTATGTTGGGCAAACAGGATGAATGATCAGCAGGAGAGTAAAAGAACACCAAATAAATATTAAGTACTCCCAAATGCTACTGTCGGTAGTGGCAAAACACGCGTGCCAACAAGGACACTCAATTGATTTTGCTAATGTTGAAGTTCTGTGCAAAACTAGTTACTACTGGCCAAGACTAATTAGAGAATCTATCGAAATTGAGAGTCTCCCTGTATGTCCCTCTCTCTTATGTCTCTTTGTGTGTATGTGTGTGTCTCTCTCTGTGCCACTTTGTGTGTGCGTGTCTCTCTATCAGAATCGGAAAGGGTTTTATTCACCATGAAAGTTTGCATGGACAAGGAATTTATTTTGGCATGGTGCATACATTCAACATATAGGAATCTTGAATCTTAAATAAGTGGTGTACAAGTCTAACTATACTAAAGGTATACTAAAGGTAAAGTCTAACTAATACAAAGGGGCTAAAGTATGTAAAAAAATTTAATAAAACTAAATATAAAATACCTATAATATACAATATAAAAATACAAATAGGGTAACATAGTGCAAATATGGCAAGGTGTCATTGTGCAGATAAAGTGTTAAAGTCAGTGTGAGCCCTTGGCCTTGTTGAAGAGGCCAGCAGCGGATGGGAAGAAACTGTTTTTGTGGCGTGAGGTTTTGGTCCTGATGGACCGCAGCCTTCTGCCGGAGGGGAGTAGCTGGAACAGAGAGTGTCCAGGGTGGGAGGAGTCGGCCATAATATTCCTTGCTCGCCTCAGGGTCCTCGAGAAATGTGTGTGTGTGGGTGTGTCTTTCTGCGTGTGTCTCTGTGTGTGTCTCTCTAGGTGTGTCTCTCTCTGTGTCTCTGTGTGTGTCTCTCTCTGTGTCTCTGTGTGTGCCTCTCTCTGTGTGTGTGTCTGTGTGTGTGGCCTGGTGGGGAGCGGTAGTGTAGCGGTTAGCACGCTGCACTACGAACCTGGCGACCCGGGTTCGATTCCCGCTCACGGCAAACACCAGTGACGATTATCTGAACCGGTCCTGGGCCTCCCCTAGGTCGACTCGGCCTCAAATGAGTACCTGGTGCGGTGTGTAAACATCGCCGCTAGGTAGACAAAGGCGGTCGGGCGTGGTGCTGGCCACCCACCCCCTCGTGTACCGTTCCGGCCTTCATAGGTGCTCGCTAACAGCACTTGCCCCTACAGTCTGTTAAGGCTATACGGGGGATCTTTGATCTTTGTGGCCTGGCACAAGCGTTGTGGTGACGTCACCGCCACTTAGTGGCGAATGGCGGTTGTTGTTGTGTGTGTCTCTGTGTGTGGGTGTGCCTCTCGGTGTGTGTCTCTCTCCTTCCTTCGATGTGGTGTTGTCCCTCGTTTTGTTTCCCTCGTTTTCTAACGAGCTGGACGTCTCACTAGCACAGCCACCGTTGCGTTGGTTCGTTTACATTGACATGCTAATCTCTAACAATACAATGGCCACCTCCTCAGCTCTTCGTCATTGTGGAGGTGCATCAACCACAACCCCCCCCCTTTCCCCCCATCTCGGTTCCATTTTTAGATTTCGGAATCGCTTAGGCACAATCTCTAGCCCCCACCCTCTTGCCCGATGCGGCAAGCGCCTCCCTCCCACCCTCTCGGCTCTATATATAAGGACTTGTTTCAGCAGCCTGTTTCTCTCTCCCACCTGAAGACGATTGCTTGTGTGGCGATCGAAACGTTGTGATCTATTATTTTTTCTATCTTCGTGACTTTACCGAAAGAACCAAAGAGTATGGATTCCTGCAGTCACGAAAGCTTCAAAACTACAAATATTTAGTTAATTGTTAAGCAGGTACTGAGTGTTGTTTAAATGTGTTCGGTGTTTAATACCTGTAATTGTCGTTTAAATATAACATTGCATGAATGAATTGATTTAATTCTGCCAGACATTCCCCGTAACTGGAACGGCTGTCCTCAGTCTGGCTTGGAGAGGTTTTACTCTCTGGCTTCAGCTTGACTCCAGCTCCTTCCGAGTAAGGTGCTGGGTAAACTCCAGCTTGTTCATAATGCAGCTGCTAGAGAACTTATGTTCACACTGTTTCGAGAGCACATCACACCTGCTCTCTTGTCTCTACATTGGCTACCAGTCAAGTATTGAATGGACTATAAGATCCAGCTGCTGACCTACAGGGCTCTCAATTGATTATCCCCACAATATTTCAAGAACTGATCCGTTACTACTCTCCAACGAGGTCCCTGAGATCTTCGTGTCATCTTTTTCAAGTACTCCGAGGTCACGGCTTTGTTCCTGGGATGATCATGCTTTTGCCAGTGCAGCTCCTAGACTATGAAATGCTTTGCCTTTGGTAATAAGACATTCATAGTTGTTTGCGCTATTTAAGTCTGTCTGGAAAACTCACCTCTTTAAATTGACATTACCCCTAGATCTGGCCACTTACCCTGGTTTTGTTTATTTCCTGCTTTACGTACACGGCGCATTGGGATGGATCTAAGGATGTAATGCGCCTGTCAAATCTAAATTATTATTATGACCTACGTTGGATAATTCTAAAAAATCTGATGGCTGTGCCTTCAAGTTCTGAATCAAAATAATGCATCCAATTCTGAAATATGTGCACATTAGAAATTGTGTTCATTATTATGATGTCTTTTTTTCAGAAGGTCACAAGGGTCTTTGATGTCCCGGATATGGAGAATATTTCAAATCCATCGTTGCTTGGGCCTGCCTTAGATATGGCAGCTACCGGGAGCTGTGCGGAACTCGGAGGAATCGATGGTGCTGAAAGTCACGATGAGCAACATTGCAAGGTTTTAGCTTCAGTGGAAAAGCTCGCTGTTTCTGATAAACAGGGTAAATTTGTATACATTTCATAAACACATGTACACAATGAATTCTGCATATGCAGTGCATGTTGTGACAACACATTAAGGTACAACAGCCTATATTTAAATACTAATAATAGTAATGTTTATGTTTAGTGTCATTCATGCAAATTGTAGGTCAGAGAATCGAGTTCCAAGGCAGCCAGATACAGTGCCAACAATTTCCCAAGCTCAATGATCCTATACTGGGATGTTTGTTCAACTCCATTAATACACGTTTACGCAATTATAATAAAAAAAGATGTTTCAACTACAGGAAGGGGATCATGGCCTTCAGTCTAATATATCCCACAGTCGCAATTGAATTGAATACAAAAGCCCATGCTCCAGCAAAGGGTGATTGGCAGCAAAAAGTGTGAAAACAACCCATTATACATTCCAGCAACATTTTTTGTTAAAGAGCAGTTGTCTTCTAAATAATTAAGCTGATAATATGCCTCCTTCACATATCTGTCTCTGCAAATATAAGGTTTTTTTAAACTATCAACGCGCACGTCCTTTGGACGCGACCGCTTATCCGTCCCTCCCAGCCACTTGCAAAACATTTATGCTGGCATAGAGCCCTGTCTCTCCATCCTGCTCTCAACTTCTTTAAACTCTACATTGCAATATTTCTAGATTTCTGTCTCTGGCTCTTTTTATCTATTTTCTCTATTCCTCTGTGCACTATTTTTCTTCTCCCGCCTTCTGTATCCTTCATCCACCCTCTTACCCACTTCCCTCCCCCGATCTCACTCCCTGTTTCTCTCTCACCCTCGCTCTCCTAATTCCCACCTCTCCCTTGCCTGCCCCTAATTCTCTCTCCCACTGCTTCTCACATTCCCTCACTGTCTTCTTTCCATTTTACTCTTTCCTTTATGTTTCATGCCTCTTTTCACCCTCCCAGCCCCTCTCCATTCCTCCCTCACCTCTCTCCTCTTTCTCACTCCCGTCCTCTGTCTCCCTCACTCTTGTATCACCCTCCTCTCTTGCATTTACACGGGATACGCACCAGCTTGGTTTGAGGGTGGGTTGGGGGGGTGAGGCGCCATGTCAGCACAACTCTGGAACCCTTCTCAATGGTATAGAATGTGGGTGATGTCATCTGATCAAAGTGTTACAGGGGTAACAGTGTACAGAGTCCCAGATGTGTATTTGGATTGTGGATTAGTGGAATCAATGAACACTCAGGAAGTGGGCTCTATCTGAACTGGATAGTCGTGTCACAACATTGAAGCTGTTGTAGTTATTTGGCTCTTTGGGTGCTTTAGACACATTGTGTGGATGACAGCCAGGGTGTTAAATTAAAAGATGGAGCAATGAAATCAGTTTGTGTTCAGGCGCGAGGTGGTTTGTTACGTCACAGGATCGTGAGAGGTGATAGCGGCTTTGGGAGACCTCCATCCAGGAGTGGACTGGCCATGGCTGATGATGATTATGGTGATAGGTGTTGACTCCCTAACAGGGGCAGCACTGCCTAAAAGGCACACATTCTTGGAGAAGTAATTGTCTCGCAATGTAAAATGGATTCTATTAAAGGCTTTATGCTTTACATGTTTTCGTCAAAATATCAGAGATGAAGTCTTATTGTTTGTAACGGCCTTCTTAAAGCAATTTTAATTGACTCCTGTTGCTTTTGTCCACATTGCGGAGCTGCAGTTATGAGCGTTACGAGGAGCCATACCCCACTGCCTGATAACTGCCTCCAGAAGACTGCAAAGGTGCTTCCCTGCATTGCACATTCACTTCGTGTCCTATGTCAGATCTACAGCACTAGGGTGTTTGTAGCTGTTATGCATAAAACATCCTCTTCATCTCTTCACCTTTTTATTTGAGAATCCATCCATTCACATTTACTGAGATTCATTATTTCTTGACTTAAAGCTTTCGCGACTGCAGGAATTAATATTCATTGGGTCTTTTGGTAAAGCCACATAGATAGAAAAAAATCATAAAAAATATCACGACGTTTCGATCACAAGACAAGCAATCATCACCAGGTGAAAAAATAGCAGGAGAGCTGCTGAGGCAGGATGTTATAAAGGTTTGAGATGGGTGAGGCCCAAGGGCCATACGCGACGTGGGTGGGGCTAGTGATGACATTTGCATGTAAATGTAAGATTGGGTAAATCGGAGAGCTACCTCCACGAAGACGAAGCTGCGGAGGTGGCTATTGTATTGTGAGAGGTTAGCATGTCAATGTAAGATCGTAGAGCCACCGCCACAGAGGAAAACGAAATGGTGGCTGTGTTAGTGAGACGTTTAACCTGTTAATGTAAAGACATTTAACCTGTTAATGTAACACTAGAGAGGTGAAAATAACTACTAACATCGGTAGGTAGGATGGAAACATCACAGCCAGTTATGAATTAAACTGGTTAATAACATCCTTCCAATGATTGCTCAGTTTGTACCCATCTTCTTGGTTTAAATTGTGTATGTGTTTATAGATCTGGATGGCTTCATGAACTAATCTTTGCTGATAGCCAGTGGGTTTGCAGTGTACCTTCATCTTTGAACAATCAATTTCGTGTGTGCCCACAGCATTAAAACAATGATCAGCCACGGCCGAGGTATTGGTCCTACCGTGTTTAAACATGGTAGGTATTGGTCCTACCATGGACCGGCTCTGGCTCCTGCCACATTGAAGGGTGGACAGTCCTCGACTCGGGGCAGGAGACTACCAAACAACAGGGAGTGGTTCTTCTTCTGAACAAAATAATGAAGGGGGTGTGGGAGTGTGGCAGTGAAGTATTGGAAGCTGTTAGCCCCAGGCTACTTTGGGCTCGCCTTCTAATCAACCGGACGCGAGGAGTGGTGGTCGTGGTTACTTATGCCCCCACCGAAGACGAACATCCGTGGAGGGATGCAGGCAAGGCCGATGAGTCAGATGCCTTCTATGACCTCTTGTCACAGGTGCTAGCTAAAGTGGCCCCTCGGAATAGAGTCATCTTGTTGGGTGACTTCAATGCCCGAGTTGGTCATGATGCTGGCACCTGGTCTGGAGTGATTGGAAGGCATGGGCCAGATCAGCTCAATAACAATGGTAGGAGGCTGCTAGATTTTTGTGCAGCCCATGGGCTTTTAATTACCAATACGCTGTTCCAGCATCAGCGCATCCACACAACATCATGGATGCATGCCGGATCCAAGCAAGAATATCTGCTGGACTACATAGTGACGGAACAGCGGATGCGGGCCCATGTCCTTGACACCAGGACCTACCGTGGAGCTGATCTGCCCTCTGACCATCGATTTGTCATCTGTAAGATGTGCCTCCCATTTTTCCACTCCGGTGGTGGGTGTACACCCAGGACCCCATTCAAATCTAAGGTGGCCTGGTCTCAGCTAGCTGATGAAAGTTGCAAGCTAGAATTTCATCATCGCATGTGGCTGGGGTTGGCATCGTCCCCCACTCCTCCAGATGTCGAGGGTAAATGGGTAAGGTTTAGGACTGTGACTCAGGAAGTTGCAATGACTGCTTTGGGTACGTGGTCCAGACCTCCCCAGAGACCCTGGCTGACAGAGGTGGTGTTCAAGTTGGCTGAGAAAAAGCGATTGGCCCACTCTAATCGTCTGCAGCATCCCATGTCAGAGAATGAGGAGGCTTACCGCAGCCTTCGCTCGAAGGTTCAGAGAGCCGTGAGGCGCTGCAAAGATATGTGGTGGTCTCGGGTTGCTGAGGAGATGGAGTCTTCCTCAATGGCCCGCGATCACAAATCCCTATTTAACTCCATCAAAACAGTAACCAGCAGCGCCACACCTATTACCATTATAAGGGGGAAAAACGGTGATCCAATCTTCGACCCCCAGGAACAGGTTTGCAGATTTGCTGAGCATTTCCTTGAGGTCCTAGGGGAGGGGAAATTCCTTGACATGGAAAACATCGTGGGACAAAGTGGGGATGACCCTGCTGAGGCTGCGGTGCCTCAAATATTGGAGGAAGAAGTCATCCCCTGTTAGTGGCTGGCTGAGTGCCATCTGTTGAGGAAGTACTGAAGGTGATCCAGAGTCTGAGACCAGGAAAGGCACCAGGCAGAGATGATCTCTCAAGCGAAATGCTGAGGGAGGGTGGCGTTTGTGCACAGACTGCCCTTCATGACATCATAACAATAGTCTGGACTACTGGACGGGTTCCGCAGGATTGGAAGGATCCCTTGTGGTCCCCCTCTTTAAGAAGGGGGACCGCACAGACTGTAACAACTACAGGGGCATCTCGTTCCTCAGTGTGCTGGGAAAGGTCCTGGTAAGGATTATTCAACATTTCCTTGCCAGGCACGCTGAGGAGAGGCTTGCAGAGCCTAAATGTGGTTTCAGGAAAGGGCGGTCCTGCACAGATGCCATATTCTCTGTCCGTTTGCTACAGCAGAGGTGTAGGGAATTCCAACCAGACCTACATCTCTGCTGTATTGACCTGGTCAAGGCCTATGATACCATCAGTAGGCCTGGGCTCTGGGTTGTTCTTCGTGCTTTCGGAGTCCCTGACCCTCTGCCCACGATCATTAAGGACCTTCATGATGGTGACCGGGCCCGGGTAAAACTACGTGGCTGGGAGTCGGAGCCATTCCCTGTTCACCTTGGTGTGCGACAGGGATGTCCTCTGATTCCAACATTTAGCATCTTTTTGACCACGTAGTTCGTGAAGCCTTTGATGGCTGTACCAGAGGAATTTCCATCTGGTACAGATACAATGGGAGGCTGATCGATGCCCGGGTGCAGTCAAGGGATGGCTCCCTATTGGTCAACCATGTGATGTATGCCGATAATCTGGTAATTGCCGCTCACTCAGAGGAGGAGTTGGAGGCGCTGCTGCTGAAACTGGAGCATGACACTAAGAGGGTGGGGCCTTTCCATCAGCCCCACCAAAACTAAGCACCTGCCTGGGTATTTTGTACCATCGGGCACTCCACCCCCACAACTCCCAATCGGTTGTGGAGAGAGTGGAGAGTTTCCCATACCTGGGCAGTGTGCTCATGACCGGCTCCGGTTTGACAGCAGAGGGTCTCACTCAGAATCAGTCGAGCGACATTATTTTTTCATCGGTTGCATAACGCTGTGTGGAAGCTACCTGGTCTGTCGCTCCGCACGAAGCTTCAAGTCTTCTCGGCCACAGTCATTCCCTCCCTTCTCTATGCTTGCGAAACGTGGACCCCCCAAATGGAGCATCTTCGCCGATTAGAAACATATAGGCTGGCCTGCCTACGATCCATCCTGGGTTTAACCAGGCTGGATTGTGTGAGGAGCTCACAAATCTTTGAAAGATTTGGGCAAAGTCCCATCGGTGAGCTCCTCCGGCAGGCAAGGCTGCATTGGCTGGGTCAGGTAGCCCGCATGCCCAGTCACCGTATGCCTAAATAGCTTTTGTTTGGCCGGATAGAGGGGGCTAAACGGGCACGGCACGGGCTAGAGAAGAGATGGAGTCATGTGGCACAGGAGGATGTGGAGCTGAGTGGACTTGCCAATGACTTGTACCAGCGGTGTCAAGATCGGCCTCTGTGGAGGAGGCTCGTGAAAGACGCTGCTGGGCAGTTGGAGGCAGTCGCCCTCCAACAACAACGGAGGTCAGAGGAGCGACGCTCACAACAACGAGCGGAGCGCCGAGTGGCTAAAGCACAGCAAGTTGGCACAGTCGGGGGCACAGGTGGTGCATCAGCCAGTCATCTCAGTCAGTTGACCCGTGGCACCTGGGTCTGCCCCGTGACATCCTGCCAGTGGGCATTCGACACTTCACGTGGCCTCAAGGTGCACCTAGCCTAGCACAAGTGTCGTGGTCACGTCACCGCCACTTAGTGGCGAATGGTGGTTGTTGTGGATTGGTAGCTGTGAACCTGACAACATGAGTTTGATTCTTGACCAGCATTGTGAAGTAAGGTCCAACAATCCCCATGATCAACATGGCATTGGGAGGCCTTTATGCAGCAGTGAATTGACAAAGGGCTGTAAATTATCATTTAGTTTTATGTTGTACAAATGTCTGAAAATGTATGTATTTTTAACTTCTTTCACACCGTACGTAGCCAACCGCATTAATCGGAGGTGTCGGGGAAGGACAACAAACTAAATACAAAAGCAGTTCTCAAGAAATGAGTTTTCGATGCCACTTTCTTTGTGGAAACCTGAGTAATATCAAGCTATATAAATAGAGGACCTTTAAAAAATATTAATTTCTTCCTTGGTGGTGGAGTCAATATCCTGGTGTAAGAATTCACTTCCGATGTTAGAACTTCTCCATTTCAACATGTAACGTATGTTTTTATTTTATATATCAGTACAACAATGAACAGGGATTACATATTTATGATTGGCTGGTATAATTTACATGTGCACTGGTGGATCTGGGTCACCAGTAGAGATGAACACTTTGATTTGACTAGAATTCCAAATCCTCAACTTTCCACAATGACAATACAAGGCAATGAATTTATCCATGTCAGATAATACCGCAGATGCGATTATGACGAGACTGCACCGTGAATGCGTCTTTCCTTCTTTGCAGGTGGTTTACATTCTGGAGAAGAAACACTCAAGGGCAGCCACAGGCCATCTCCGGGCCCCGAGCTGCGGCCAAGGCACAGTGGCATCACCTAAAGGCCCCGGCCCCTTCATCCTCTTTTCCCCCCTTGACCACCGCGTGCCCAGGATTCACATTCCCCAGTCTGAGTGCCCGCCCGAATTCCTGGCCCGACCTGGTGACTTTGTGAACACCTTGTTTGTGGCCCGCATAACAGAATGGCCCGAGGATACCAAGATTCCACGAGGGTATGCTCAAAACATACAAACACTTATCTGCTGCATGCTAAAATGTTTTGGGGTGATATTCTGCACTAGAGCAACAAAGCCAAAAACGGTAGCATTGCATGCGATGCGGGCAATCACAGTATGTGTACGTATTCTTGGTTCTTTCGGTAAAGTCACGTAGAAGGGAAATAATAAAATAAAAAACATATTAAAAAAAAATTCTCACGACGTTTCGACTGCAACACAAGCAATCATTATCAGGTGTGAAATCATTTGCTGTGGATTTCTTCTACGTGACTTTACCGAAAGAACCAAGAATATGAATCCCTGCAGTCACGAAAGCTTTAAATCAAAAGTGTGTGTACAATTTAAGATATGAATAGATGCACAAATTACAAAAATTACTAAAAAGTTAATTACTGAAACAGGAAGATTTTATCACAGTTGTGGCTGTTGTCTGATGAGGCTGGTTGTAATTACCAGCAAAAGTCATACTCGAGTTGTAAATGTGGGTTTACTCTACTTGACAAACGGCACATTTATATTTATGCGATCTAACCCAAAATATCTCTATTATGGGTTATCAGAATGTTTACTTGAATATGTATCTATTTTATTGCTCTATGAAGAATATGAAAAAATACGAATAGGTTTTATTGTTTTTGGTAATAAAACAGGTGTTAAGATGTTCAAACACCAAATATAAACCTTTTGCAAGGAATCATGTCTGCATGTACTTGTGGTGAACATACAAACAAAAAATGCTTTTGTTTCTTGCAAAAGGTTTCTATTTGGTGTTTGAAAATCTTAAGACGTGTTATATTGCAGAAAGGGTAAAACCTTTTGATACTGGCAAAAAAGGTTCCATTTTGTAGCTGCTCACCCCAAGCTATAAATGCCCTGAAAGTGCATCGTTGTTGTACTGTTTGCCTCTTGGCATTCTCTGGGCTAACACTGGTGAGACTATGCCCTAAAGAAGGCTGTCACTGGTATAGACCAGTTTCAAAGGCAATATATATATTATCAGAGCATAATATGCCACATAAAATACCAATTAATTTATCAGGCCCATGATTGACTTGGTGTCGTTACTTATTGCTTGTGTTGCATTGTATAATGTCACTGTTTGACTACTCATGCCAAATATTGTCCAGTCACTTACCCGACGAGCCAAGCATGCACGTTCCCTATTGTTTGTGTGACAGATCTCTGGCAAAGAGTCTGGGCGAGGCTGGTGATATAGAACCTGAGACGGAGGGGATGCTCATCGAATATGGCATTGATTTCTCCGAGTTCCCTGATGAAACTCTTCAAAATCTTCCACAAAATCTGCCCTGGACCATCTCAGCAGAGGAGCTGGCCAGGAGAAAGGACCTCAGGTGTTCCAACAGCCTGTTCACAGTTCCCGACACCCCCACACACGGAAATGTTACAGGATTATCATGTACTCTGTTCAACTGGTAAGGCTGTGTTGTGTTACAACACCGAATTACTTTTAGGCATTGTTATTAAGTGAAAACGTGACAAAAGGAAAAACGAAACGTAAAAAAATTACATTGTACAAAATGGGGGTTCATTCCCAATGCAGAGATGTTTACTCTGATGAATGTACCAAATACACTGCTATGTTATCCTCAACACGGTGACATTAGACACCCTACCTGATGATTTGGCATGAGGACATCACTTCTTCATGTCATTATTGCTGAACTTACTATTGCAGTTGGTCCAGGTTGCCATGGAGTTCTCTGCCGACATCTGTCCTGCCACCACCTCGTGCCGTTCTGAAACATTTCCTATCTAAAATGGTGGAGGTCACTTGCCTTCTTGCTCTTCTGCTCTTAGGCTCATCAGTAAAATGTATTTTAAAGTTTTCAAATTGCTTGACTCGCTTCCTGGCATTGATTAGAGATATGCACATTCTGCATGCAAGCATGCACAGCAAATGTAGGGATAGGTAATACCTTTCACGAAACTTATGATCACAGTTTTCAGGCAGAACTGTATGTCCACTTCAACCATTTGTTTATGAATACCAGTGTCTCCATGTGGTTAAGAGTGAATAGACAGGCACAAAACACCCAAGGAGTGTTATGCAGATATCTACAGCAAACCAATTCCTACTCCAGGATACATTACCTTTCTGTCGCACATGTAAATTGCTCTTGAAGGTCATGGGAAACCAAATAATGGACAATTCAGTGGCCAACTTACCATGTGTTTCAGTTATATTTGCAGACAGGTCTTTTATACGATCTAACATAAGATCAGGATCTAGAAAAATAAAAACAAGTTAATAGCAAACCATTATGCCTGAACTTTGTAGACGATGAAAAGGAATGGTATTCAATGGACATTGAAGCAGTCATTCAAGCTCAAAATCCAAGGCCATAATAAAATTATACAAATGATCTAAACCATTTATAGATGGCACAGCTTACACCGAGGTTACACAGAGCAAGGAAGAAAAAATAAATAATAAGAGGTCAGGCTAGAAGGTACGTTCCCACTCAGGCTATTAACAGAAACATTGGAAGATGTCCTTAACCAATTGGATTAGAGATATGGAAGTGTAGTGAGTCCAACTGAGTCGCAGACGTCTTAGGGAGCAACACTTTTATTAACCATTAACACAACATACTCCAGGGCTATTAACACAACATACGCTTGGGTGGTGACCACCCAACTAACCACGCTACGGTGGAACTAGACACGTTTTCACTATCCCGGGTCCGGACCACAAGCTGGGTCCTGGACCGTGTGGCTGGAGGCTTCTTCAAGCTTGACGTGGATCTCCTGCCTCTCCAACAGTTCGAACTCCGAGCCCCTCCCAGAGCCCCCCTTATATCGGGCCAGGCTGGGGCTGGCTCTGCCTCTCGCCCCACCCACCTCGATCTCTCTCGCCCTTGCCCGAAGGCTCTCGAGAGTTATTCTCGGACCATGTGACCACCCATTGGCCCCCTCCACCGGTGGCCCCCCTCCAGTGTCATCCGGTCACGTGTCCCCAGGTCAGCCAGAGTATTATGCCCACAACGTAACCCTAGCTGGCTGACACTCTCTCGCTATCTCAACAGGAGCCCGCACCGCATGCTGTGTGTGCGTGGTGCCACCGCGCTTAACCAGCGCTCACCCAAGCCCCCACTAGGGCTGGTATTACACCCCGTGTCCGGGGTGTACACACAACAGTATACCTCCGGCACCACACAGTGACATTCCCAGTCACTACAGAAGCATACAAATTTTTACAGAAATTACTAACACAGATTTGCTGAAAAAGGAGACAATAACATTGACGACTTTGTCAGATCATTATGTGATCTAACCCAAAAATCTATTACCAATCATATTTTAGTTTTTTTTACGTTACTTTTACTTTTGAATATATTCTTTGGTATAGACGTATAAACATGGATGTGTATGCATATCCTAACTGTACTGCGTTGTCTCACCCTGGTTAGAGAGCTGTGTATATTCTCCATTGACCCAGCGACTGCCCGTGATCTGGATGATGCCCTCTCTTGCGAACGTCTTCCAAATGGTAAACGCTTGTAAATGTGGGAAACTCTTATAATCTTTTTGTTTGAAGTACAATTTGGCTTTTGTTTTTGATTTAGTAACAATATTTGGCAGGTGTCCCCCAACCTGTCACTGTCAACCCTCAAACATCCTTCATGGACCACCATGCACCAATACAATTTTTTTAATGAAATCAAACAATCTTAGCATCTGCAACAGTTCCAATACGCTTAATGTTTTAGGCAACAACCACTTTGTGAAAAATAATACTTTCTATCTATTTTGTTGACACCTCTTCTGAAAACCGATTTCCTTTTCAAATGAGCATTAAGGTAGTGCTCATCTCCTGTTTGCAGCCCTGAGGTAGTAGCGCAAACTCCACGTAATTATGTCAGGGACAAGCCTTTCCATAGGATGACCACTGTTGACTTCCCCAAAAAGTGGTATCTACTTTATTGATCGTGGAGAGATGATGGGCTGAGTCAACCTCCCATCCAGGATTTGAGCTCGCATCCTTCCGATATCGAGCCGCTCACTCTGCCGCTGAGCCAGCTGGCTGGCTGCTCCTATGGCTCCGTGTATGCTCCCCCACGGCCATCTGCAGGGGGGTGGAGTTTTGTGCACACTGCTGGTGTGGGTGGAAATGCACATTACCTCACCGGGAGTCTCGGGCACCATCCTCTCGCTTTTTCATCTTTGCACGATCAGCTGTCAGGGCGGGTCACACATCTGAAATATTGGTTTTCTCATTTCGTCATTAATTTTAAAAAAATCATTTAAGTAATCAAATATATTCTGTTATCTTCTTGGTTCTTTCGGTAAAGTCACGTAGAAGGGAAGTAATAAAATAATGAAAATAAAACATAATAAAACAATTCTCACGACGTTTCGGCCACAACGCAAGCAGCCGTCCTCAGGTGAAAACCAGGTCCATCGAGGCGACAGAGTCTGAATGAAACAGCACACGAGCTTGGAGCATATATATAAGCTGGGCGCATTGACAAAGGAATTTGCGTATCAAAAGGAATTTAGCATATTAGCATATTTATGGGAAATGCAGGAATGTGATTTCCCATAAATATGCTAAATTCCTTTTGATACGCAAATTCCTTTGTCAATGCGCCCAGCTTATATATATGCTCCAAGCTCGTGTGCTGTTTCATTCAGACTCTGTCGCCTCGACGGACCTGGTTTTCACCTGAGGACGGCTGCTTGCGTTGTGGCCGAAACGTCGTGAGAATTGTTTTATTATGTTTTATTTTTATTATTTTATTACTTCCCTTCTACGTGACTTTACCGAAAGAACCAAGAAGATGAATCCCTGCAGTCACCAAAGCTTTAAATCGAAATATTCTGTTATTTCCATGTGATTGTCATGTTTCTTAAGCTGTATTCCCATTTTTATATTTAGAACATCCTCGAACATTCTGCAGGCTGGTATTTCATAAATGACAACTTAACATTTCGTTGAAGTTTATGGAATGGCTGTTAATTCCACGTGTCTCCACAGATTTTCTTTAGGGCTTCATCATTAATTCATTCATTCAAGACACATCCATTAAAACAACTTCATGAAGGGCAACTTTATGAAGATTGAAATTAACGTGCAATTTCATTTGCAATAGATTTTATGAATAAATTAATTCACAGTTGATTTATTTTGTTCATTCCTTGGGAATATAAAATATCATGTGAAAACTGTTTATTCCACCATTTGCTTTTATCACAAAACACCATTTTTTTACTACCCATTGCCCAATGATTTCGATAAATCAACAGAAAATTACTTTTTAGAGTTCTGAAATTGCATTTTAAATCTTTCATGTGATTTATTTTTATATGTTATTGGTGCATAATGGTCCATGAAAATTTAGTCAGGCTTATCAGTGGTGCATAGGTCCAGAATGGTTGGGAACCATGCGTTTCGTGGTGTTTGACTGGTGGATTACCGGCCAGTACGAGCTCTTTTCATATTGTTGATGTCCCTGATGTCCTGGAGGCTCAATCTCTACTCTGCTGTGGCTGTAATTACTGAGGGTTCCACTGTCATCTTGTGGTTACCATTGGCTTACAGGAGGCTCCTCTGCCTTTTCATCATAGTGGTACCGCAACCCCACGCTGTACAGAGACCCCTTTAGCAGCTACTGCAGATGACTCCCATTGTTAACTTTTCTTATCTACCACACCAAAGAGAGGGGGGTTTGTCGTTGTTATTTTAGTAAGCGTATGATGTTGCTGTGTAATCCCAGTTGAGTCAATTGCAGGTAATGTTTTCGCATTGGGTTGTTTGGCCAAGACCAGTTACAATTTACATTTTTTTAGCTATGGGAGGAAACCACAGAATCCAGAGGAAACGGGGAAAGCATATAAACTGCACACAGTAAAGTGCCTGAGTCAGTAATATAACCCAGAGCCCTCATACTGTAAAGCACAAATCTTACCACAGCACTGCCACCCGGCCGTAGTGGGATGTGAATCCTTGTGTTTCATGCAGGTCACCTAAGGGTGGGAGTCCACATTGCGGACGTGAGCTTCTTTGTGAAAGAAGGCACGGCCTTGGACTTGATGGCAGCCGATCGAGCCACCTCCGTCTACCTCGTCCAGAAGGTTCTAGAACAGCGCATGTGAACAGTCCGCCATGTGTGAATACTGTCTGCGCCGTGTGTGAATACCCGGTGTGAACACCGTGTGTAATCACTCCACCCCGTGTGAACACTCCATCCCGTGTGAACACTCCACCCTGTGTGAACACCTCGTGTGAACACTGCGTGTGATCACTCCACCCCGTGTGAACACCCCGTGTGAACACCGCGTGTGATCACTCCACCTCGTGTGATCACCCCGTGTGAACACCGCGTGTGATCACTCCACCTCGTGTGATCACTCCACCCCGTGTGAACACTGCGTGTGATCACTCCACCCCGTGTGAACACCTCGTGTGATCACTCCACCCCGTGTGAACACTGCGTGTGATCACTCCACTTCGTGTGAACACCTCGTGTGATCACTCCACCTCGTGTGAACACTGCGTATGATCACTCCACCCCGTGTGAACACTGCGTGTGATCACTCCACCCCGTGTGAACACTGCGTGTGATCACTCCACCCCGTGTGAACACCTCATGTGATCACTCCACCCCATGTGAACACTCCACCTCGTGTGAACACTCCACCTCATGTGAACACCTCGTGTGAACACTCCACCTCATGTGAACACTGCGTGTGATCACTCCACCTCGTGTGAACACTGCGTGTGATCACTCCACCTCGTGTGAACACTGCGTGTGATCACTCCACCTCGTGTGAACACTGCGTGTGATCACTCCACCTCGTGTGAACACCTCGTGTGATCACTCCACCTCGTGTGAACACTGCGTGTGATCACTCCACCTCGTGTGAACACTGCGTGTGATCACTCCACACCGTGTGATCACTCCACCTCGTGTGAACACCTCGTGTGATCACTCCACCTCATGTGATCACTCCACCCCGTGTGAACACTCCACCCCGTGTGAACACCTCGTGTGATCACTCCACCCCGTGTGAACACTCCACCTCGTGTGAACACTGCGTGTGATCACTCCACCTCGTGTGAACACTGCGTGTGATCACTCCACCTCGTGTGAACACTGCGTGTGATCACTCCACCTCGTGTGAACACTGCGTGTGATCACTCCACCCCGTGTGAACACCTCATGTGATCACTCCACCCCGTGTGATCACTCCACCCCGTGTGAACACTGCGTGTGATCACTCCACCTCGTGTGAACACTGCGTGTGATCACTCCACCTCGTGTGAACACTGCGTGTGATCACTCCACCTCGTGTGAACACTCCACCTCGTGTGATCACTCCACCTCGTGTGAACACTGCGTGTGATCACTCCACCCCGTGTGAACACTGCGTGTGTTCACTCCACCTCGTGTGAACACTGCGTGTGATCACTCCACCTCGTGTGAACACTGCGTGTGATCACTCCACCTCGTGTGAACACTGTGTGTGATCACTCCACCCCGTGTGATCACTCCACCTCGTGTGAACACCTCGTGTGATCACTCCACCCCGTGTGAACACTCCACCCCGTGTGAACACCTCGTGTGATCACTCCACCCCGTGTGATCACTCCACCCCGTGTGAACACCTCGTGTGAACACCGCGTGTGATCACTGCGTGTGATCACTCCACCTCGTGTGAACACTGTGTGTGATCACTCCACCCCGTGTGAACACTGTGTGTGATCACTCCACCCCGTGTGAACACCGCGTGTGATCACTCCACCCCGTGTGAACACCGCGTGTGATCACTCCACCCCGTGTGAACACCACGTGTGATCACTCCACCCCGTGTGAACACTGTGTGTGACCACTCCACCCCATGTGAACACCACGTGCGATCACTCCACCGCGTGTGAACACCACGTGCGATCACTCCACCCCGTGTGAACACTGTGTGTGATCACTCCACCCCGTGTGAACACTGTGTGTGATCACTCCACCCCGTGTGAACACTGTGTGTGATCACTCCACCCCGTGTGAACACCACGTGTGACCACTCCACCCCATGTGATCACTGCGTATGATCACTCCACCCCGTGTGAACACCACGTGCGATCACTCCACCCCGTGTGAACACTGTGTGTGATCACTCCACCCCGTGTGAACACTGCGTATGATCACTCCACCCCGTGTGAACACTGTGTGTGATCACTCCACCCCGTGTGAACACCACGTGTGACCACTCCACCCCGTGTGATCACTGCGTATGATCACTCCACCCCGTGTGAACACTGTGTGTAATCACTCCACCCCGTGTGAACACCACGTGTGACCACTCCACCCCGTGTGATCACTGCGTATGATCACTCCACCCCGTGTGAACACTGTGTGTGACCACTCCACCCCGTGTGATCACTCCACCCCGTGTGAACACCTCGTGTGATCATTCCACCTCATGTGATCACTCCACCCCGTGTGAACACTCCACCCCGTGTGAACACCTCGTGTGATCACTCCACCCCGTGTGAACACCGCGTGTGATCACCTCGTGTGAACACCACGTGTGATCACTCCACCTCGTGTGAACACTGCATATGATCACTCCACCCCGTGTGAACACCGTGTGTGACCACTCCACCCCGTGTGAACACTGCGTGTGATCACTCCACCCCGTGTGATCACTCCACCGCGTGTGAACACTGCGTGTGATCACTCCACCGCGTGTGAACACTGCGTGTGATCACTCCACCTCGTGTGAACACTGCGTGTGATCACTCCACCTCGTGTGAACACCGCGTGCCATCCCTCCGACCCGACGAGTGGACCCCTTGGCACCGTCTCTACTTTTCCCACTCCACATCTCCCTCGCTGCGCCCTTCTCCACCTCTCCATGCATCCCCAGCCCTCTCTCCACTTGTCTTGCACATCTCACCCCACTCATCTCCCAAATGAGAGGTGGGTTGTAGGTATAGTGAGTGGTCAGAGCTGTTTGGAAGAAAACATTGTGAGGCAGCTCCTATTCAGTGAAAATTTTAATGATGTTTGTCAAGTGAGACATTAGATAGAACGCGGTTTCACTCTATCCAATTTTGAGACAAGCAGTCTGTTGCATATATCATTGGCGTAACATTTGATTTAGGCCTTACATATTGACACGACTGAATATTTCAACTATACTATGAGCAACATTGTCGGTTTTGTTTTTACAAGACCCCAGTATGAAGCACGAGCAATAAAAAGAAAAGAGGGCACAGAAATTAGGTTGGGCAGAAGCCTGAAACGCAGCGCTCACACGGGCTGAGGGAGAGGAATGGGCTCGCCACGCCACTAGCGTAGGGACTTCGAATGGGAGCACAGACTTTGTGTAAGGGGAAGGGAAGGTGAGTGAAGAGGAACAAAAGTTAGTGGGAAAAGTTTTGGGGTGGTAAGGGGAGAATTTGCGTACAGTCTGTTCTGCTAAAACGTGTCGTTTTATAACGCGAATTGTATATAACGCGATTAATGTATTAGGGAACACATTTTTTATAACGTGGATGTAAATTGTATATAACGCGATTGAGTGAAGAGAAATCCGCCACGCCAGTAGGAAGAAGCGGTTGTACAGCGACCTCAGCGTGGCATCGCGCAAGGTGGGATGCTGCTGAATGCTTCGAGATGCTACCCACGAGCCGCAGTCTTTGTTCAGCCTACGTACGCATCTCATGTGTTATTGTGGACTGTGTTTTACCCTATATTATATATTATTTATTATAACGCATTTTTCCATAACGCGGTGTTTTTCAGAAACACAGCTACCGCATTATAGGAGAATAGACATGATGCACGTTTATACTTACATTGCAAATTGAATGAGAAGTTGGTCGGTGATAAATAATATTTTTGTATTGTCACAGGTTATCCCAATGCTGCCCCGCTTGCTGTGTGAGGAGCTGTGCAGCCTGAACCCTGACCAGGACCGCTTGGCCTTCTCTGTGATTTGGACCCTGTCGCCACAAGGGAAGGTGCTGCTGACTTGTTTGTTTAATGTCCTCAAGTCCTCTGTGTGTGTGTAATAAATTTTGTCAAGAGCACACGACGGTGTAACTTTTATCTTGGGTGCACTGTGCCATCACAGCACCGTGCTCACTAGATGATGCCATCCACCCTCTGAGAAGTATTGTTAGACAGAGGTGTCCAGCTGTCAGATGAGAGCCGGACAAACCAATGGCATCTTCTGTCATAATTTAGTTTCTCTAGGAATGTGAATAGTAAATTTAAAATAATGAGAAAATTAATGAGACTGGCAGCACCGAATGAATGCAGAATACACCTGCTGTGCAACCGTTTTGATGCCTGTCTTCGCGAGGCCTATCCGCATCACCCCTCAAATGCTATTCTTCATATTGTTGTTTCTTTTTTCTTCCTCGGCACGTTACTAATCATGTAATCTATGGCGATCACCCTTGGGATGGTCTCGTAAAAATAAATACGTCTTTATTCAACAACATCAGGAGCAAATAATAAACACAGCCTTTCAGCAACAGTAAGAACAACTACAACAGTCTCTCTCAACTGCCAAAAGAGCTAGCTTCTAAACGCCCCACGCTGTTGATGTCACATGCAAGCATTCTACAAAGATCTAGCCATGGGGAATTCCATTCTCTACCCAACCTAATGGCACCCACCACCCAACCTTGCCTGTGCTCTCTAGTACATTAAACTCATCCTCGATGGAAACCCCATTGTTATCTCTTACCAGTTCTTGTGTAAGTAGAATGAAGCAGGAACATTGCACTTTGTGTGATCAATTGCGTGTTTAAAGCAACCGAGTCATCAGTCTAATTTCTGTGGACTTCTCTTTTCAGATTATCGATGAGTGGTTTGGCCGGACCGTGATACGTTCGTGTGTAAAGCTGAGCTACGACCATGCTCAAAACATGATCGATGACCCAGGATGGGTGCCAAGTGATGGAGAGTGCCCGCCTATCTCAGGGCGACACCAGCTGAGTGACGTTAAGCGCGCTGTACAAGATTTGCATTCCATTGCACAGGAGCTGCGAAAACAGCGCTTTCAGGATGGAGCCCTGTGCTTGAATCAGGTGACAATTACTTGAAATTCCCAAATCCAGTGTCTATGTAAACATTGTCGTTTATTTTTATTATGTTTTTAAAAGCAGCAGCATCTCAATGTGAAGTGTTCGAGTGAAGACAACACTGACGAAGGAGGAGTGCGGCAGATGGGGGGGGGGGGGGGAATGAGAGCCAAGCCACAAGGGAGAAGATGAGAGAGGCGACCTGAGACCAGTGAGCTCCAGGGCAGCAGTCGGACGTTAGAAATGGGTTTGGGGAAAACTGGGGCCAAAGAGGTTGGGTACAGGTGGCTGGCTGATGAGGCCTAGGGCCAGGCGGAGCCATTGGAGCCCTGTGCTGGTGAGGCCCAGGAGCCGGGCCATTAAAGGTTATATATAATATGCCATTGAATATGTGACATCTTAAGACTACTTTTGAACAATATTACAACCTGAAATATTTGGGTTATCAAATCAGAAATATATTTTCTATGTAACACATCACTTGCCATCGTCTTGACTTATGTCTTGAATATTCTAGTCTGTTAAGATGTCCGTCAGTTTAACACGTAGGCTTTGGTCTTGAACGGCTCACAAGTGATACCATCACATCTACCCCTCTATTTAAGGAACGAAATAGGAGGATTTATCCACAAATCTTGCTGTAACCTGATTAAGCTGGTTGTAATAATGGCAAAACGTCTTACTCAGATTGTAAATGTTGTGGCTTTGCTCTCCAACACACCGGTGTGCTGTACTAGTAACAAATTGGGTTGTTCTGTTTACATGACAAACCTTACTAAATTGGCTGTCGGGTGGTGGCGGGTTTAACGACACATTTATTTACGTTATCTAAATCAGAAAACCTGTATTATGGAAAGATGTCTGTATATGACACCCAAGTAATTAGGTATACAAATTAGCAGAGCATATTTTGAAACCCTTGGTGTGCCACCACTCGTCTTTCCCTTCTCTTAAGTTTTCCAAACTACTTGCGAGGATTTGTGTTTTTTTTTCAGGTAAAAAAATTACTGACAATACATTTTATGTTTTAGGTTAAATTATCCTTCACCTTGGATCGCAACACGGGAATGCCTCAAGGATGTTATGTGTATAGTTACAGAGACAGCAACAAGTAAGTGTTTGCTGAATTTCACCATTATTTAGAAATGTATGCAGATAACAGACATATATTTAGTCTGTTTTGTAACAAACGATTGCTTTAAAATGCATTTAAACATGGACTTGGATATTAAATCTATCAACTGTTATCACAACTTGTACACATTAATTGGACTGAGAGAGGCTGGATAAGTTGTTATAATAGCATATCATTAGGATTTTAATTAATTTCCTGCACATATAATTTTAAGACTAAACAATCTTTGAAGTTTTTTTACAAATGACCATTTTTGGGAAATTTGTATTTCCAAGTATATATAGTTCATTAAACTGTAATCAAGATTTTGGGTTGATTTAAATGTTCAAGACCAAGTTTCCTTAAAGGCCAAGGACGGTTTATATATGTCACACCGTTGCCATCACTTCCTCTCGCAAAATTCCTCAGCTGTGGCTCAGTCAAGCTCTGCACATCCCATTTCCCATGCGAGGTCACAATGAGACATTTCTGGCTTTTAAGTTTCCCCTCAGTTGACGATTCTTGGTTACCCATTCCACTGTGATACCTCTAACATGTTTCAGAAATAAATAAAAAATTTGGTCCGAAATTAAATTGGCAATGCTTTTTTGCATGTTTTGTTTTTTGCTTCCAACTTACTTTCCCTTACCTTCCATACTTTTATTTATTCCTCTGCATGCCACCTATGTTTGAGGGCCAGAATCTTATTTTAGATGTGGGTAAATGCAATACATGGGAACGACATAATACGTTTTCACTTTTCACTCTAGGCTTGTGGAGGAATTCATGCTGCTCGCCAACATGGCAGTAGCTCACAAGATTTACGGAGCGTTCCCAAAACAAGCGCTGCTACGGCGCCACCCTCCTCCACAAAGTAACCTCATCCAGGCCCTGCGCGAATTCTGCACAGAGCTGGGCCTCCAGCTTGACTTCAGCTCAGCAGGGAGTCTCAATGTATACAACTCGAGCACTATTATTCAATGCAAAGTGGATTTCCTCATATTACACAGAATACTTACAAATCTCTTGGATTAACTTTAAATTGCATGTCATTATAAATTACATTGACAAAAGTACCTTTCTATGAAGCATATGAAATCTGGTTGAGGGAGATATAGGAGGGAGGAAAGGACAGAAAGGAGAGGGGCAGGGAGAGAGTGAAAGGTCATGAAAAGGAGAGGAAAGAAAAGTAAACGAGAAAGGGGACGGCGAGGGAACGTGACAAGCAGTGGGAGAGAGGATTAGGGAGCGGCAAGAGAAATTGAGCTGGGAAAGGGAGAGGTGGGAATAAGGAGAGTGAGGGTGAGAGAGAAACAGAGAGAGATAGGCGGAGGGAAATGGGTGAGATACAGTGAATGGAGAAGAAGGGACAGAGGAATGCCAACACCGATAGTAACGGAGACAAAGCGATAAATTAAGATATATTGCGATATGGATCAGAAAATGCAAGAGACATGTGGAGAGAGACAGCGCTCAATATCATAATATTTTTGCTGGCAGGCTGGGAGGAATGGACTGATGGTCACAAACAAAAGAAGTAAAACATTAATGCTCAATACAAACAAAAATACAATGCAACTGTTGGCCAAATATCCCAATGCTGAAAAATATCCTGCAAATTGCTCAATTGGAATTACATATAGCAACATCTCCCCCTACTGCGGAAACCTCACAGGACCCTTCTAAAACAGAGTGAGACCAGCAAAGCTTTCCTTGGTAAGCAAACGTCATAATGAAAATACAGGAAGAAAACCCAAGCAGATGACCCAATGCAATTAGACGATCAAATTAAATATACTGAGTTTAGCTTGGGATAAATGTTGTGGCTGCATTCTTCTAGTACAGTATTTTCAAATGGACACCAATGTTTGGTGTATTTGAATATTGCAATACTTTTAACACATAGTTTAGTCATATTTACAGTGGTGTGATTTTTGGAACAACCCCCCCCCCCCCTCCTCAGGTCAGTTTGAACGAAAGTCTGGCAGGGGACAGGCTTGCTGCTCCGAGGAGAGAAGTTCTTACCCAGATGTGCTCCAAGCCTATGCAGGTCACACTCACATTCACACATTGTACATACGGATGTTTAGTACTGTTCAATATTGGTGTACTCGGCAGCTGGTGCGTATCAATACGTTCTGACCTGCTCCTACTGGACAGTATTATTCTTATATATGAATGTTATTTTTTGTCTGTCTGTCTGTGTGTGTATGGACGCACACTTGCGAAGGATTTGGCTCGAAAACCGTGGGGTATACGTTGAAAAAAGTAGCCAGGTACCACGCCGTAAGCCCCGTGGTGAGCCAGCGCTATTCCGTTTTCCCATTCGTCAACTTTAAAGTACTCTATTTAGCCATTTAGTACTGTTTTCGTTTATTTATTAAATAGCGCATGCTCGCCCATACCAACTCAGACACGTTTGGTGGGGGGGAAGGGCACCTACCAAGTCACATGCATTTGGTGGTGGTGAGGGGGAAATTTTCTTTCGTGTTAAACATGCAATAAAAATACCCAAAACGCTGAGGTAAATTCTTCATAGTGTGATATCCTCTTCTCTCCCCCCCCACCCCGATGTTTGCAGTTACTATAGAGTCGGTAGTTGCTACTGGTATAGGCCATAGATATTACTGCAGAGCTGGCGGTGAGATTGTGGGTGGTGGGGGCGGGTAGCGGCGCAGCCCCCAGTCTGCCAAGGTGCCACCTTGGCCGGTTGGGCAATCTCGGCAAGGCCGGGGGCTCTACCTGGGACTAGGCCTCACCATGGCAATATTATTTAAGTGCAATTTTCTTGCTTTCGCTAAACTCATGTAGATAGAAACCTATTATTAAAACTATTATTTAAATAACTATTTAAATTTTCACCTTGGATATATTAAAATAATGTTTTTGTGTAGACAACTAATATTTAAAATTACCTTGGTTAATATTAATATAATAATGATTGTGTCTAAGTCCTTGTGTGCGTGCGAGTCCATTTCCGTGTCTGCGACGATGTTAGTGTGTGGGTACGTCCATGTGTGTGTGTGCAAGTCGATGTGTGTGTGCGTTAGTCTATATGTGTATGTCAGACAATGTGTGTGTGTAGACAACTAATATTTATAAATTAAGTTGGTAAATTTATGACTAATAATGTGTTTCTTAAGTCCATGTGTGCGTGCGAGTCGATGTGCGTGTCTGCGTCGATGTGTGTGTGTGTGAGAGTCGATGTTTGTGAGTCAATATGTGTATGTCAGTCGATGTGTGTGTGTTAGTCAATGTGTCTGCGTGGCTCAATGTAAGTGTGTAAGTCCATTTCTTTGTGTGTGTGTGTGTAGGTCCATGTGTGTGTGTGAGTCGATTGTGTGTGCGTGAGTCCATATGTGTTGTGTGTAAGTCGATGTGTTTCCATGTGTGTGGATCGATGTATGTATATTAACTCCATCAAAAAAGTAACCTGCAGCGCCACACCTATTACCATCATTAGAGGAAGAAACGGTGATCCAATCTCCGACCCCCAGGAACAGGTTTGCAGATTTGCTGAGCATTTCTGTGAGGTCCTGGGGGAGGGAAATTATCTCAGCCAGGAAAACATCATGGCACAAAGTGGTGATAACCCTGCTGAGGCTGCGGTGCCTCAAATATTGGAAGAGGTCACCCCCTAAACTATGGGGACCTCATTTGCCAGTAAAAATATGATAATTGGTTCTTTACCCTTCTATCTGGCAACAAAACTGACACCTTTTTGCAAGGAGTCATGTTTGCATAGACCGCAATACCTGCAGTCATAATACAAACAAAAGAACATAACTCTGATAATGTGCACATTATCAGAGTTATGTTCTTTTGTTTGTATTATGACTGCAGGTATTGCGGTCTATGCAAACATGACTCCTTGCAAAAAGGTGTCAGTTTTGTTGCCAGATAGAAGGGTAAAGAACCAATTATCAGGTCACCCCCTGTGAGTGGCTGGCTGAGGTGCCAGCTGTTGAGGAAGTACTGAGGGCGATCCGGAGTCTGAGACCAGGGAAGGCACCGGGCAGAGATGATCTCCCAAGCGAAATGCTGAGGGAGGGTGGCGTTTGTGCACAGACTGCCCTATATGACATCATAACAACAGTCTGGACCACTGGACGGGTTCCGCAGGACTGGAAGGATGCCCTGGTGGTCCCCCTCTTTAAGAAGGGGGACCGTACCGACTGTAACAACTACAGGGGCATCTCACTCCTCAGTGTGCCGGGTAAGGTCCTGGCAAGGATTATTCAACATCGCCTTGCTAGGCACGCTGAGGAGAGGCTTGCGGAACCCCAATGCGGTTTCAGGAAAGGGCGGTCCTGCACAGATGCCATATTTTCTGTCCGTCTGCTACAGCAGAGGTGTAGGGAATTCCAAAAAGACCTACATCTCTGCTTTATTGACCTGGTCAAGGCCTATGATACCATCAGTAGGACTGGGCTCTGGGTTGTTCTTCGTGCTTTCGGAGTCCCTGACCCTCTGCTCACGATCATTAAGGACCTTCATGATGGTGAGTGGGCCCGGGTAAAACTACGTGGCCGGGAGTCGGAGCCTTTCCCTGTAAACCTTGGGGTGCGACAGGGATGTCCTCTGGCTCCCACATTATTTAACATCTATTTTGACCGCGTAGTTCGTGAAGCCTTCAATAGCTGTACCGGGGGAATTTCCATTTGGTACAGATATAATGGGAGGCTGATCGACGCCCGGGTGCGATCAAGGGATGGCTCCCTATTGGTCAACCACGTTATGTATGCCGATGATTTGGTAATAGCTGCTCATTCAGAAGAGGAGTTGGAGACGCTGCTGCTGAGACTGGAGCGTGCCACTAAGAGGTGGGGCCTTACCATCAGCCCCACCAAAACTAAGCACCTGCCTGGGTATTTTGTACCATCAGACACTCCACCCCCACAACTCCCAATTGGTGATGGGGCAGTTGTGGAGAGAGTGGAGAGTTTCCCATACCTGGGCAGTGTGCTTATGACCGGCTCCAGTTTATCAGCAGAGGTCTCACTCCGAATCAGTGGAGCGGCAATATCTTTTCATCGGTTGCGTAACGCTGTGTGGAAGCTACCTGGTCTGTCGCTCCGCACGAAGCTTCAGGTCTTCTCGGCCACGGTCATTCCCTCCCTTCTCTACGCTTGCGAGACGTGGACTCCCCTGGTGGAGCATCTTCGCCGGTTGGAAACATTTAGGCTGGCCTGCCTACGATCCATCCTGGGTTTAACCAGGCTGGATTGTGTGAGGAGCTCACAAATCCTTGAAAGATCTGGGCAAAGTCCCATCAGTGAGCTCCTCCGGCAGGCAAGGCTGCGTTGGCTGGGTCATGTAGCCCGCATGCCCAGCCACCGCATGCCTAAACAGCTTTTGTTCGGCCGGATCGAGGGGGCTAGACGGGCGCGGCACGGGCTGGAGAAGAGATGGAGTGATGTGGTACAGGAGGACGTGGAGCTGAGTGGACTTGCCGATGACTGGTACCAGCGGTGTCAAGATCGGCCTCAGTGGAGGAGGCTCGTGAAGGACGCTACTGGGCAGTTGGAGGCAGTCGCCCTCCAACAACAACGGAGGGCGGAGGAGCGACGCTCACAACAACGAGCGGAGCGCCAGGTGGCTAAAGCACAGCAAGTTGGCACAGTAGGGGGCACAGGTGGTGCATCAGCCAGTCATCTCGGTCATCTCGGTCAGTCGACCCGTGGCACCTGGGTCTGCCCCGTGACCTCCTGCCAGCGGGCGTTCGACACTTCACGTGGCCTCAAGGTGCACTTGGCCTGGCACAAGCATCGTGGTGACGTCACCGCCACTTAGTGGCGAATGGCGGTTGTTGTTGTTGTTGTTGTGTAAGTCGATGTGTGTGTGTCTTTTTTTCCCGGGCAACACCGGGTTACTTCCTGCTAGTCTTATCTTACTTATAAATGTCATTGTTTGTGTGTGGCCGAAACTTGCTCGCAAACCATGGGGTTTTTGTTTTAAAAAAGTGGCCAGGTACCACGCCATAAGCCCCGTGCTGAGCCAGCGCTATTCCGAGCTCGCGTGCGTCACCTTTAAAATAGTTTAATTAGCGATTTAGTGCTGTTTTCATTTATTTATTACATAGCACATGCTCGACTCTACCAACTGACACGCGTTCGGTGGGGGGGGCGGGCCCCTACAAAGTCACACGCGTTCGGTGTGGTTGAGGGGGGAATTGTGCAAGGTAACACAGATTTACAGCTCCCTTCAAACATTTATTACCATGACGGTTTACTCCTTACAAATTGCCTTTTGTAGGTTAGATTTAATGACAGGGATGAACCAGTGTTTATGAAAATAGTTTGTTTCTGTACTCTTGAGGCATAAGTAGCTTACTTCACAGGGGAAAATCAATAAATATACTCAATTACATCTTCATTCTATCATATTTACACTTGCCTCCTAAGTACGGGGGTTGAGTAGTGACGTTATGTCAATTCCGCTTGATTAGTGCGCATCTGCTCATAGTTACAGGTAGGTTTGGTTCATTTTGTATTTGTTGACTTTCATTAATTTGCCGCTCTTGCTCGCGGCAAATGTTTCCACCAAAATGGTGGAACACCCTCGCAGTCGCTCCTAATGACTTATTATACACGCGTGCATTTCCCCTCCCCCTTGCTTCTTTCGCTAAAGTCGCGTAAATAGAAAACTTTTATTTACAATTTTATTTAGTCGATATAAAAGTTTTAGTGTGTGTGTGTCTACGTCCATGTGTGCGTGTGAGTCCATATGTGTGTGCGCTGTGTCTGTGTGAGTCTTTGTGTGTGTCCGTATGTGTGTGCGTCAATGTGTGTGCGAGTCAATGTGTGTGTGTGACAGTCGCTGTGTTTGTTTGTGTACGTTCATGTGTGTGTGTGCGGTGTGTGTGTCAGTCGATGTGTGTGTTAGTCGATGTGTGTGCAAGTCCATATATGCGTGCGTAGTTCCATGTGTATGTTAGTCGATGTGTGTGTGTGGGTCCATGTGTGTCTGTGTGTGTGTACATCAAAATGTGTGTCTGCGTGAGTCTATGTGCGTTTGTAAGTTGACGTGTGTGTAAGTCGATGTGTTTGT